GCCGCACCAGAGCCCATTGGCCTTGGCCCCTTGGCCCAGCCTGTCCAGAGCCCTCTGTAGAGCCTCCAGCCCCTGGGGCAGATCAGCACACTCAGAACATGGTGTCACCTGCAGACTCACTGAGGGCTATCCCCTCATATCCCCTCCTCCAGATCATTGATGAGGACACTGAAGATCCCCCCAGCCCTGAGCCCTGGGGACACCCCTTGTGACAGCCACCAGCTGTCCTGCCATGAGCAGCCACCTCCAGGAGGATGCTGTGGGGTCAGCAGCTCCCCTGGGCTCCAGGCAGACCCCACCCACAGCCCCCCTCAGCCACCAGCCAGCACCCAAAACCTCTGAGTGGCCACAGCCACTGCTTGGACCACGGGGCTGGTAAAACGCCAGCGACTGGTGGGCCCAGGGAGCTGCTCTGGGGCTGGGCTTCTAAACAAGACCTGCTTGTTAGCTGTAAAAAACCCACCAAAAACAACCACCAAAACCTTTGTCTCTTGGCAGAGGAGAGGACCTCCATGGCTGAGTTTGGTCAGTCAGCCACCGTGACCAAGAGGTTGCCTGCAGGCTGTGCAGCATCAGTGGCAACCAAAAATAGACAGGGAAGTCTCTGAGCTGCAGCACTTGGAGCCTCCAGCTGCAGGGGAGCAGCAGGTGGGTCCTCCAGGTGAGGGCAACCTCTGGAGAAGGTGCAGGATGGGCACTGGTGGCTTCTGGCCCTCAGACAGAGGCTCCTGCCCCACCTGAGGTCTTACAACATAGCTTCACCCTGCTCAAAGAGGAGACAGATGTGGCTGCAACCAAGGGCTCTGGTCCACAGGGCTGAAGACCACCAAGGGATAAAAACCCACCCTGAAGATCAGGGTTTATCTGCAACAGCCCTTTCCTGTCCTCAAGCCCTTGCCCTTGTCAGCTCACCCTGGGGGCTGCTGAGAGCAGCAATAGTTTATCCCCATGTGATGGAGTCACCACAAACCCCAAAACACCAGCACAGAACCCTCTCCCCCCACTGCAGACCCCTCCCTCCCCACGGGGCAGCACCTGCCCCTCACCTGAGCAGCTTGTGCTTGGCCACGGTGGAATGACCCCGGGGTGTGCTGGAAGGCAGCTTCTCATGGCTTTGTCCTTCAAAGAGTGGCAAATTATCCAGCCCAAAATACACCTCAGCCCTGCCTACACCTGCAGCAGGGGGGGCACAGGCCAGGGCTGCAGCTCAAATTAGAACTCAAATAATCAACTTGATTTTGCATTGATTAGCAAGAGGAGTAATTCACCCTCCTGAAAAGAGGCTGGAGCCCCTTGGGCACCAGCTGGGCTGCAGGGCAGGGTGAGAGCTCCGTGCCCAGGTGCCCTCTCCACACCCTGCTGGGTGCCAGGGGCTCTCCCAGGGCAGGGGCTGGAGCTTTTCCCTCTGGGGGCTGGGCTCAGCCAGAGTGGCTCCAGCCCGGGCTGAACACAACACGTGTCAAAGGCTACAGGGTAAAGGTGGGAGCTCCAGGGTTCTGGGGGCTGTGCAGCTGCTTTTAGGGGCTCTGGAGGTCCAGCACAGGCACTCAGAGCTGGGAGCTTTCCTGGGGGGGAGCCCCCAGCAAGGGCTGGGGTGTTTTCACTTTGGGAGCACACTCTGCAGGAGCCTTCAAAAACAAATGACTCAGAGAACTAATAATGACCCTGAAGCATCCGAAATACTCCTGAAATAATATTTCATCATGACTCACCCCAATCTATTTTTGTAGCAGTTTTGTGCAAGGGGCTGGAGCTCCATCTGCCCCCCCCAGCACCTCCTGCACAGCCTGGGCAGGTGAGGTACAAACCCCACGAACACCAAGACCTCTCAGTGTCCTGAGTCTGAGTTTAGCACCAGTTTATCCCCCTAAATCCTGTGTGTTTACCTGAAGACACCACTTGGTCTTGCAGGGAGCTGCAGGCAGAGCTGAGTTCTTTTTTCAGCACACGTGTTGGTTTTAATTTGGGTTTAAATGGATTCAGCCCTCAAGGCAACACAGCTGAGCAGTGCCACACTAAATTCGGACGTGAGTGCCCTTACCCTTGACCAGAAGAGTCAAAAATGGGTTACACAGGGCTAAAGAGAGACTGCTCTCGACCACAGGTTATGTAGAGCTGCTTCCCTTGAAGCATCCAGCATAAATGGGTGTAGCTGTGATGGGGGCACAGATCTAATGTCACTGCTGCTTTGGGGCACGTTTCAGGCAGGTTCTTCAGCTCCTGCTTCTGAGGAGCGTGTGGCAAAGGCCCTGCACAGCCCAAAAATCAGCCCAGGAGGGGCTGGAATTCACCATCCAGCTCAGGAGGGGCTCTGCTGGGGGCTCTCCAGGCTTGAATAACCACCAGTGTTATTCCAGCAGCACCCCAGCAGCTCCTTACTGCCAGGAGAAGGGTGGGGCAGGTTTGGGGGCTCCCCGAGAGCGGCTGCAGGATGGAGGAGAGGGTGGCAGGTACCCAGGGGGTAAAATCCACTCAGGGGCAGGTTTGGGGCACTCGGGGCCATCTGCTGACCTTCCTGGGTGGGCGTATGGAGGCAAAGGGCACTGGGTGAGGCAGGCCCAGGCCAAAAACACCCGAGCAGCACAGGGTATAGACAATGCCAAGCTCTGCTTTATTTTCATCAGTGTGATCAGTACAAAAGCAGGCAGCCTATGTTTCACTTTTTATTCTTTTTCATTTTAATTAACACTTTACAAAGTACAAAATATACTGTCATTTATTTTGGAACATTAGGATTTTTTTTTTCTTTTTTCTTTTTTTTTTCCTTTTTTCTTTTTTTTTTCCTTTTTTTTTCCTTTTTCTTTTCCCCATACAGTACATAAATCTCAGCTTTTCAGCATAAGACCAGCAAAGAAAAGAAGCGTGTGCACTCGCTGGGAAAGCAAAAGCATCCACTTCTCAGCTCCACACTCCTGCCCAGAGCACGAGCCTCAGCTGCTGCTGCCCCGTGGGGTAACACCCCCAATTTTGGGCTGCCCTCCCCCTTCTGCCCCCCCTAAGCTCTCTGGAGCTGGTGTCCCTCCCCACGAGCAGCCCGGAGAGGAGGACACACCCTGCTGCACCCCCCAAAGTCAGTCTGCAGGTCTGGTGAGTAAAGGGG